GTGGTCCCTGAGGATTGCCCAACTGCTCATGTTCGTGGTTCTAGGCGACGCACTGGAAAAAACGGTTTCAACGTTTCACTGATCGGCTATGGGGTCCTGCACGATGATGCCTTGCTGCTTTCGAGGTCAGATGTCATTGAATCACTGTGAAACCCCTGAATGATGCTGCGTGTCTCTAGGAACACGGCGATCTTATGGTCGTCTGCACGGCGGCGACTTGGAGTGACTTACGCCGTACATCATGTCACAATACCACACGGGCCTCGCGTTTTGATAGTTTTTGGCAAGTAAGGTCCACTTGATTGGTAGAGATGTAGACATGTTCAGCAGATCTAGATCACTTTTCCAAGGCCATCGACATCGCCGAACATCAACTGAAAGTCGCTAAACAGAAGAACAATAAACTACAGGAGCATACACAGAGCCGATCCAAGGGCGAAACTACATAATGTAACATGGTATGCATGAAGCTCCATCAGCCTTCCTTCAAGTGCAGTTTCTCCTCGATCCTGCGTAATTCTGCCTGATACTCAGAAGCGAGTCGGGAGGCTTGGCTTTGTACCTTTTGCAGCTCAGTTTCTACTTTCTGCACCTCCTCCTGCAGCTCCTTCCGTGTCTCCTCGTCCTGTTCCTGCTCAGCGTCAGCCATTTCGTCCCTCAGAGTCTCCAAGTCCTTCTGGTGCCGCGCCGCCAGTTCCGACATCTCCTTATCGAGCTGGTTGTACGCGGCCGTCTGTGTGATATCCAAACCCTCTCCCAACTCTCGCTGGATCCGAAGCACCACAGGTTCCTTCTCTACGAGATTCTGAAGAATACTGTGAGCGGACTGCTGCGTGTTGTCATGCCGCAGTATCTTTCCTCGCTTGTCAAGAATGGGCTTAAAGAAGATATCCTTGGTAGCGAGCTCCTGCTCACGGGCGTTACCGTCCTCTGCAGTGACTGTCGCCCACATGTTGGTGACAATGAGAACGTTGGGGTAAGCTTCTTCGCCGCAAAGCTCCTGGAACATTCTGAAATCGCGTCGAGCGGAACCTCCAACTCTCAAGTCAGAGATTCTCTGCATGTAAATAACGCCCGCAAGGCGTGCTCCTTGCTTGTTGCTAGGCGGTGAGTCAGTGACCGAGATCCTCTGAGTAGCGCAGACATACGTGGTGACAAGGTACGCAGCAATAATCTTCAAGACGTCGGTGTCCGTGAGGGTTGTGTCATCAAAACCCGGAGTATCAATCAAAACCACTGGCTGTTTGCCTACGGTGAACGGCAAGGATGTCTGCACTTCGTTGGTGCAACTTTCTAACCCGAAACCGACTCTTAGGTCAGACCCAGACGCCAAGTTGATGAACTACATTCCTATGAGCAAGCAGAAGAAACGATCAGCTAAGTGACACACCGTCGTCTTTCCACTCCCAGTGGATCCCATGACCCTGACGCAACTGATAAGCATTCCAAATCGACGAGGATAGAATATCAACCACCACGTACGCAATGTAGATGGTTTCGCGGACTATGGCTTCGGGAGGTGGAGCTTTTCGCTCCTCGTCATCAAATTTCTCGATTTGACGGCGCCCGAAACATGCAAAAACTTGACCCATTGTCGATGAGCTGGAGGGTTGAATGTGAACTCGGACCAACGAGATATTAAGACAAAACAGATAGACGAACACCGCACGTGTTAGCAGCGTTGTATCACATTGAGTTCACGCGATGCATCCGCCTTGCGTTGTGGGCCTGCTCAGAAGCGTGGCTTCCATTACTCGGATTCCGTGCTGTAAATCTGCACTTCATGCTCATTGGCGGTGAACGCACGCGTAAATGAACCAGAGGACAGGATGGCAGCCTGCGGAAGCATTTCAGGGTATGCAGTCGCAGTCTGTTTGACGCCGTCTTGAATGGATTGCAAAATTGGCTTTAAAATGCAACACGAGTGAGTAGGGTGATCTTCCAGATGCACTCGTTCGAGAAACGAAAGAAGTCTAGCGCGGGCTGGCTCTCGCCGACTTTGGTGTTATTGACAGTAAGGGGAACTCATTGGGCCTCGTTGGCACCGATATATCGATAAGAGAATAGAATGATCGGAAAGGCTGTGTGTTTCCACTGGGAGCATCAGGTGGCAGTCAAGTTTCTGCGAAGCGCACTCGGAACGAACATGCGATTGGCTGGATCAATAGAATGCTACGAAGGAAAGTTCACATTGTTTCTGCGAGCAGCGTCCTCACCGCGTGTTACATTTTGCCGGTTCGATGAATGTATATGAGCTACGCCAATAGAACA